GTTCGCACCAGTTGACCATCATTTTTGAAATTCCCCAGTGTTGTGTTGTCGTCCCAGCGCGTCATTTTCCCCAGTGTGTTCTTCTCGTAGCGTTTGTCCCTGTGTCGTCGTATTCGTCAGCATTTTCGCATTCATCATTCCAGCATACGCATCATATCATATTCATGGCATTGTCTGCATTAGTCTGCTTTTGTTTTGTCCATAGCATCGCATATTGCCACATATAAGGGAAAAATTTTCGGTTATCTATATTTAAATCCCTCCACCATGATTCCTCGAGTCTCCGTCACTCAAATCATCTGGTGTAGCTACTTAAATAGGGGCAACTGTAATACCCCAAATTTTACCCTTACATTTAGTCAGTCATTTCGCATAGCATTTCATTTTGAATCCGCTAACCATTAACAAGCCATAAAGAGTGTTTGTTTTGCAGGAACCACACCAAGGGGCATTTTGGTCATTTTCACGCTGACTCTGCCATTTCTCGAAGAGGGATCGTCGCTAGGTCTTGAGGCAATGTTAACATTATTTTTGAGGCATTTATTTGATATGTGGTTTGCTTATATCAAGGCGTCAGTGTAGTTTGATTGGTATCAGGAAACCTGGTCAGAAATACAACTGGATTTGGGCTGTTCATAGCTCGTGGTCTATTTTAAGTCACTCCCAAACAAATTTGTTTCTGTTAATTACGAGTGATTTAATTTGGAATACTTGGTTGTACTGAAGCGCCAAAATATGATTCGAGCGTTTGAAGGATTCTTGTTCATGGATTTTGTTAAAAGTTATTTGATCAGTGGAAATTAATTGAATATTTAATGTTAAGTCGGGCTGCTCTAAACACAGGCAAATTGTTACTTAAGAATGGATTGTTGCGGTTTTGGCGCATGTCCGCGGTTGGCCCAGAAAAACAATGGGATAATATTAATAAGGGATATTGCTAGTTGAGGTTCAATCCCATGTTTGGCTATTGTTTTCATCGAAGTCATGTGAGATACCCATATTTATTTACAAGTCCAATTCGTGGTTTGAGTGCTCACTGGTTATTATAAAGAAAACATGCTATATGTTGAACGAGAGGTTAATACCTCTGTTGGATACTTATTATTCAAATAACCGGCAACATTCATGGGTTGATTCTATTTCAATATAAGGGATGGTACATTCAAATATACAAAATTCAGTTTGAGCCATAATTCCAAACAAGTGCCTTGTAAAAATAACTAACAGCCCACAGGAGGCATGACACCAAGGTACAAAACCATATTGTGATGACTATTACAAATCAGGTTCCTAACTTCATACAAGTTGCTACAAGCTATCCGAACAAACTATTTCTCAGCAGCAAATTTTCGAACACATCAGCCTTGCAAGCTAGTTCCTCAGAATCTCCAGTAAGTCGACCTGCTATGCACGTAAGGCTTCCTCCGGGTTTCAATCTTTCCTTTCCAATTCGATTGGAATCTCCAGCTGCAATGTGAATCAAAAGGAATATGAAAATACCGTGAGTTCTAATCCTGAATAATCAATGGCATAAAATCGAGTATTCAAAGGAAATCATTTTTAAACAAGTCTCAAAAATAACAAAGCAAAATGAATTGAAAGAAGTTCAGCCCTCAGTTTAATCATCATTGGGCGTGAGAATTCGAGCGGCTGGGAGAGCCACGGCCGAAGCCGTTACCAACTCCCTACCGAACATCGAATTATAGCATACGGTAATTTCGTGCAAACTGTCAGCTCAAAATATCAGCTCAGACCCGAAGGTCATCATCGCTAAGGCAACGCAACCAAAACCAAATGGCAATGGCATCCAACACAGGTTCAGACGAAGCGTCATCATCACCGCATAACCTTCTCGGCGGCATTGATCTATCCGAAGTATCAGTTCTGAAAGAAGAAGAAGAAAAGTGAGTATATGCCCCCAAATCGATGTTCATGACCGAAATGAATGGAAAACCACACATCAGCTCAGAAAGAAACAGTTATTTGTTCTGAAAGAACCAGAGATGTATCAGAAAAAAGCATATCAATAGCGGCAACAGGATGAACCGAAAGAATGATCCAATCAAAACCATCAGGAGCATCCGAACGACATTGAAGAACCAGACACCAAACAAGGTTGGTTTGAATATCTGCAAAATTCACTAAAAGCATCAGAATGCAAGCAAGATGAGGCAGTTATATCAGAAATGATAAAGGGCTCCAGAATTTATCAGAAAAATGAGATGGTGGAACATCAACATCAGTTCATAAGCCCAGAAGGCTGTTCTGAATCAGTTTTGAATAGCCGCGAACGAACAAGCAAAGGACATAATAGAGAACATCACGGCAACCTGGTTTCGCATATCAAGTTCAGTTCAAAGTAAGCCTCAGCCAAATGTGCAGGCCACGGTGGAGAAGCAAAATGCGAAGCCGAGGCTCAGCTACGAACATCATTTCCCCAAACTCGCAGCCACTATCAAGTAAAGGTTTCGAAGCAACATTGAGCGAAAACCCGGATGCCTACGGATCTCAGACTAGCCACGAAGAGGCCGAGTTGAACTTGAGTTCACAAACTGCATAAAATTGAAAAGATCAATTCGATTCAAGAATAAATAAATCCATGGTTGTCACAGAAAAATGCAAAGAAGAGAGAGTCAGGAAAGCGCATCAGCAACAGGTGTAAACTACACCCGCGTATCAGTTCAGAAGCCAAACAGGGCGCAAACCACAGCAGAAGGAACTGGGGAACAGGGCCCAAATCCATGATGGAAGCCATAACCGGACATTAAGGTCAAAAGGGACAATCGAGAGTGAATCCAAATGAAGGCAAATCCAAAAGAGGAAAGAAGTAATATCAGAAGAAATCGAACCACATCCCAACCAAATCCAATCGAATCTGCAGCATATCAGAAAAACAAATCATATCTCGGAATCATATCTCAGTAAAATAACGTAAAAAAATCCAAAACCAACAAAGGCCCAAAAAGAGGAATCGAAAAAGATATATAGAGGAGTGATACAACCTTTTGAAAACCCTAGACTGGGAGAGGGAGAGAGGACGAATTGCGAACCCTAACGGGCTAACCATCAAAGCGGCGAAAAAACAAATGACGAAGCCCTAACATTAACATCATCCGCGAATCACAGACGCATACCATAGATCACAAAATGGCCGCGTTTACAACAGAGAAGACCGCCTTCGCCATCGGCGGGCAATCAAGTCTCTAAGCCTCAGAGTAGTACATCATTGGCCGCAGAAATTCATAGCGCCCTCGAGCCGCGAACATCACCAACCATCACTACCTATGAAAACGTAAGCCGTTTGGAAAGAGATTCACATTTTTGTTTTTGTTTCAGGAAGAGAGAACAGAGAAAAGAGTGCACAGAGAGAACGAAGGAAAAAACGAGGAGGCTGTCGCAGCTGCCTTTGGTATTGAGGGGAACCCTAACACTCTTGTTCTTTTGAGTTCTTGCGGACCGGGTCGGGTCCGGGAGTGATGACCGGCCCAACCCACATTTTTTAATTATTGTTGTTTCGTTGTTTTTATGTTTATTTTATTTTCTGTTTTTTTTCAAATAATAAAAACCTTTTGAATAAACAAACTAAGTTTTAAATTAAAATAAAAACATTCTTTTTAAAAAATATATAAATTAAAACTTTTTTTAAATAATAACTAAAACCTTTTTTTTTAAGTAATAAAATAAAAAACTTCTTTTTAAAATAAAATTTAAAACTTCTTTAAAATAATAAAATCAAAACTCTTTCTTTAAAATAAAATTTAAAACCTTTCTTTAAGATAAAAGTTAAACCTTTTTTTTAAAATATTAAATCTCTTTTTTAAATGTAATATTAATTTCTTTTTTTTAAATTTTACACTAAAATCCCTTTTTCAAAATTAAATTAAAATTCTCTTTTTGCATTTTTTGTTTTTTCTCTCAAAATTAACTGTTTTCATTATTGGTCATATTTCTGTCTAATTTCTACTAACGTTCTCTGTTTTCTCCGCAGATTAAACTTAATGTGGATTATTATATTTGTATCTGTTTCCTGGTTGTAATTTTGCGAGACAATTGTCGCACTTTTTCTTTTTAGCCTTTACATTTCATTACCATATAATTATTTATCTTCCATCACTTTTTTACATTATCATCAACTCTGTCACCCTCCGAAGGAATTAGGATTAACCGTTTGACCACCGAGTCAATAACCCTAGTTTGAACCTTTTCAAAACCCTAATTTTCACAAATGTCTCGCCGTGGACTACAAAACTACCCCTAGCTTTAGGTCAAAGATCCGCCGTGCTCATTTTAGGGTTTCCCGCCGTGGAATCCCTAATTTAACCCTAATTTTAACTTAACAATTCAACATAGAGATTTGGAGTTTCTACACTCCATGTAAGCGTGTCCTTAAGACATGTTTATTCCCCTTGAGACCTTGACCACAGTCAAGAAGTCTTTAACCTCCCTTTTGAGGGGAACTACGATTACTCTGATTCCATTCCCGTAAGGATACGTAGGCACAAGATGCGATGTCTTGCCGAGTAAACTTAGAATTAACCCCTTAGGTTTATTTCCTCGTTTTTAATCCCTTAGTACATATACCTTAAGCAATAAATAAAGCAAATAGTAAACATTTGAACAAAAGGTTCCTGTAGAGTACTACAGAAGTTTAGGGCGCTAATACCTTCCCTAAATTTAACCAACCCCCGAACCCTAGATCTTTCCCCGCATTGTGTTTACGATGCAAAATAGGTTTTCCCTTTTTGACCTTTTCCTTCGGATAAATCAAAGAGCGGTTGTGAATTGAATTGCGATTCAAACTCATTAATAGTTTGTAATCCTATTTCCACCGCAACACATATCAGCAAGGGATAAAAGAATTTATTGATTTTGCATTTAAAGGTGCAAAAGAAAATGACGTAGTAATATGCCCTTGCAAACACTGCGGTTTCAAAAAATCAAAGAGTAGGAGTGACATGTTCGACCACTTAATGTGGTCACCATTTCCGCAGGGATACACCATGTGGATTCATCATGGAGAGTCCTTTGTTGTACCTAGTACTATCTCCCCTAGTACTACTCAAAATATGGTTGGAGATACTATCAATTTCGAAGATCCTATTCATAACATGATCAATGATGCATTTGGAGTTGATATGAGTCATGCTAATGAAATACCATCTGCGTCAAATTTAGAGATTGGCCAAGAAGATTATGTGATGCTAAGTGCAACTCAGGAAAGAAATGAAGCCAAAGAGTACTATGAATTGACTAGAGAAGGAGAACAACCTTTGTATGAAGGGTGTAGACGATATTCAAGACTATCTTTTTTGGTTAAGTTGTACCATATAAAGTGTTTATGTGGATTGAGTGAGAAGGCAATGACAATGATTTTAGAGTTAATTAAAGATGCATTTGAATATGCAAACATTCCAGGTTCATTCCATGAAGCCAAGAAATCAATCACAAAACTTGGTTTGAATTATGTAAAGATACCTGCATGTCCAAACGGTTGTATGCTTTATTGGGGAGAAGATGAAGAAAGGGAGACTTGCAAAAATTGCAACACGTCAAAATGGAAAACAAATGAAGCGGTCTTTGTTAACAAGAAAAAGAAAAAAATTCCTGCCAAGGTTCTTCGTTATTTTCCATTAAAACCTCGATTACAGAGATTATTTTTGTCATCAAAGACGACAGAGGATATGAGATGGCACGCAACAGATGCTAACAACGATGGAATGTTGAGGCATCCTAGAGATTCAGAAGCTTGGAAGAAATTTGACTTGACACATACTTGGTTTTCATCAGATCCGCGAAATATGCGTCTTGCATTGGCTAGTGATGGTTTTAATCCTTTTGGTGTGATGAGTACAAACAATAGTATTTGGCCAGTTGTTCTCATTCCATATAACACTCCTCCATGGGTTTGCATGAAACAAACATCATTTATAATGTCGATGATAATTCCTGGAAAAGAAGCACCAGGAAATAATATTGATGTCTACTTACAACCCTTAGTCAAAGAGCTGAAAGAGTTATGGGAAAATGGCGTGGATACATACGATTCTTTCAAGAAAGAGATGTTCAAGTTGCATGCAAATTTGATGTGGACGATTAGTGACTTTCCAGGTATGGGCGCACTTTCTGGGTGGAACACATACACAGGACTTGCTTGCTGAGACAGCCTATGTCCCATTAGTGGAATTCTAATGAAACCTTATAAAAATACAGAAAAATTTGAAATTTTTAAAGGACAATACTTAATTATTTAAAAACATACTGTTTCACATACATATGCTTCAAATATATTTTACAGAGTTTGACACCGTTAAGACTAGCGGCCTTGCCACATAGATAAAACATAAAATAAAAGTACAGAAAGGAAACCAAAAAGAAAGCATACCAAAAGGGACCTCCTAAGTCCAACAAGACTGACACTTATACTGACTGTAGTAGTAGGGATGTGATTAGCGTTTGACAAAACACTAACAGCTCCCAATCTAGATGTTATAGTAACACATCTCCACGTCACTTCATATCCTTTCCTTCTGAGTTGTCGGGAAGTACGCAAGATTCGAGCTCATCGTCTGATCGTCATAAAATAATCCAAAATGCAAAACAAAAATGACACAGGGCTAAGATTCATGTACAAGTTTAAAAGTGGGAATGAATGTGTAAAATAATAATATATATGGAAACCATATTTATACAAACAAGCGTATCTTATACCCACAATTACATATACTTTATTTATTCTAATGCATCCCTGAACTATATGCTGACTCAGGCCACTAAACGCTGTCAATGATATCTATCCCATTTACCAAGATCAGATATCACTAGACCACATGCCACCAACGTACTCCCAATTACCAAGAGCTACGCCACCTAACTTCACATGGAGCCTAGGTGTTATAAGTCGATCGTCCCTGAGAATTCAGGCCAAGAACCTTGTCTTGCCTAGCATGCATAGATAATAATCCCCGTCGGGATTGCAGGCGACTGATCAACCTCGTGCGTCCCATACCGCACGGCGGTGGACTTACACATTCCTTAATGCAAGTCTATATGATCACTCACTCATCTTGTGGCAACTCTTAGCCATAAGTATTAAGTTAATAATGGGGAATTATCGTATCAACTTTTCAAGTTATACTTATTATCTAGATACTTAGGTTGAGTACCAAATCCATCCAATGTCTTGCCATATTTGATCTTTGTCCTTACATAATAAGTTCAGTTTGTATAATGGGTAATTGTATGGTTAACTTCCCAGGTAAGAGAGGTGGACTGTAAACGGCATAGTCGACCAAGTCTTTCCTTAGCCAGAACCCAACCAAATATAACTACTCATTGTATCCAACTTTCCTTATGTTAATGGGGATCAATTACTTAATATCTAGCAATGTTTTTCTCTCATTAACCGATTATTTCCTTAATCTATCAATCACAATCATTCAAGTATAAATAAAATAAACAATTATAAAATTAACCGAATAATGCAAGCACAATACAATACCAAATTGTCAAAGATTATTCCTATGATAATTAATTAAGGCCGGCGTAACCTCGCCTAGTGATTTGTGAAAATCATTATTTGAGAATAGGCTCTCCTTAATTATTTATCGCTAGTAGGGCTTAGGTCACCACTACACACATATATATTAAGTTATTTTACGCTAACCGTCCCAATCGTATACGAAATCTTGCCCCCACCTTTTGTTGAGTGTTGTTGAAAGTCCACAAGTGTTGTCTTCGATCTTTGCCAAGAACCTAATTTACGATAACCGTTGGATTGTACGAAATTTATGAAATAATTAGAATATAATTTATGGTTAATTGAACATAATCCCGTTATAACTTGAAATATTTATTTATTTAAATATATCATAATAACCTCCAAAATAATTATTAAATTCAAATATAAATTATATTATACCTCCTTTTGAATTTGTTTGTTTTAGAAAATTGTCAAGAGTATATTTCTAATAACATTTAAATTATAATAAAATTTGGGCATTATAACGACTTAAAATGGTAAAATTTATTTTGGACTTTATAAGTTCAATATATCGACGTCTGAACGGAATTTGCATAGAAAATTTAAAATAACCTTTATATAAATAACATAATTAAAATAATATAATTAAAATAAAATGGACATTATAACGGCTTACCGATTACTTATGAAAATGATTTGGGCAGAACTTTGACGTATAAAACTCCCTTGAAACTTTAGAAGAACTTTTACCACAAAATACTCTAAAGGTTACGAACCGATATCGTGGGAACTTCGATAACTAAAACTAATATTGCTATATGAAGAAATTAGAGAAGGAAAGAAGTAAAGAAGTAAGAAAGATGATTTGTGAATGAATGAATGAAAATGGGGTGGAAGAGACCCCTATTTATACTAGTTGTAAAATATTAAAATAACATAATTTATCATCTTTTGCCCATACCTTCCAACTTTTCAACTCTTGCTAGTAAATATGTCTCTATCAAATATTTACTAATCTTTCATCAATAGTGCTTTAGGTGTTCTAGTATGACTTTGTGAAAATAATTTATGACAAAGGTATGGGAGCTTGATTTCATGACATAATATTATGTAGGATATTAATAGAAAATGAGATATATATTTCTTTTATAAAAAGTAAAATGTTAATAATATTAATAATAATAAAAATAGTAAAAAGGATAGTTATTTGATATTTTTATTGTCTTAAGATTATTTTATTTATTAATTGGTTTATAGAGTAAAATGATAATATTCAAATAAAATAAAATCAATTAATAATAACAAAACAAGAACAACAATAATGATAATAATAATATGAATAATTAATTAACTTAAAGTTAAGGGTTTTAAGTACCAATTTAAATTTCAAAGTTTAGTTTATAAAATGAAACGATGATATTCAAATTGAAGAATAAAAGTAATAAATATAAAAAGTAATTAATTAATAAATTAATTATTATAAGTGTTAGTTTCAACATTTAATTTTTAATAACTAGCATTGTTAAAATCTCAAATCTAACTAGATATATTATTTAGTGTATGGAAAAATTAGGATGTTACATTACCACCCCCCTTAAAAGAAATTTCGTCCTCGAAATTTAGCGTACCTAAAACATATGTGGATACTTCTGACGCATGTCTTCTTCTCTTTCCCAAGTAGAATCACCAGTTACATCATCCCACACGACTCTAACCAATGGTATTTGCTTTCCACGAAGTTCTTTAATACGATGATCTAAGATCTTGACAGGTATAGCCTCATATTCCAAATTATCTCTAAGTTCCACAGTTTCAGGCTCAATGACATGTGAAGGGTCCGGATAATACTTCCTCAGTTGTGATACATGAAATACATCATGAAGATTAGACAAGTTTGGCGGCAAAGCAATGTGATACGCTACAGGTCCAATCCGCCGTAGAATTTGAAAAGGCCCGATAAACCTTGGTGTTAACTTCCTAGTTTTGATTGCTCGTGCAATTCCCGCCCTAGGAGTTACCCTAATGAACACGTGATCTCCTGCCTCGAACTCCAAAGGTCTTCTCCTCTTATCATTATAACTCTTTTGACGGTCCTGTGCTGCCTTCATTTTTTCTCTAATAAGTTTAACCTGATCTGTCGTTTGTTGCACGAATTCTGAACCCAATATTTTATTTTCTCCAACCTCATACCAACATAAAGGTGTACGACACTTTCTTCCGTATAATGCTTCATATGGAGCCATGCCGATACTTGAGTGAAAACTATTGTTGTAAGTAAACTCAATCAATGGTAAGAACTCGTCCCAACTTCCTTTGTGTTCAAGAGCACAAGCTCTCAACAAATCCTCTAACGATTGAATCGTCCTCTCAGACTGGCCATCCGTTTGGGGATGATAAGCTGAACTTAACCTCAGTTTTGTTCCTAACTCTAAATGCAACTGATGCCAAAAATTTGATGTGAATCTGGGATCTCTATCATTGACTATACTTGAAGGTATTCCATGCAATCTAACAATCTCCTTTACATATACCTGAGCTAGTCTCTCTAATTTAAACGTCTGGTTGATGGGAATGAAATGTGCACTCTTTGTCAACCTATCAATGATCACCCAAATTGCATCATGTTGTTTCTGAGTCTTAGGCAAAGCGGTTACAAAATCCATGGCTATTCCGTCCCACTTCCACTCTGGAATATCTAAAGGTTGTAGCAATCCGGCTGGCTTCTGATGTTCAATCTTTGCCTTCTGACATACCAAGCAACTTTGAACATATTCTGCTATATGTCTCTTCATTCCAACCCACCAAAACATTTTCTTCAAGTCTTGATACATCTTTGTGGCTCCTGGATGAAAACTCAACTTACTTTTGTGGCCCTCTTCCAAAATCAACTTTTGAATATCCTGATTTTGAGGTACACACAACCTTTCTTTAAACCTTAGGATTCCATCACTCCTTATGTTAAACTCTCCATTTTGACCATTTCTTATATTTTCCTTTATGCTCACTAGACGGTCATCAAGTTGTTGTTCATCTTTGATCCATTTCAGAAATTCATTAGACACGACAATAGCGCCTATGAATATACTTCCTTCATTGTGATGTACTCCTAAGTTTAAATCCACGAATTTGTCAATCAACTCTTCTTCCTTCAACATCATTGCAGATACATGAAGTTTCTTTCGACTCAAAGCGTCTGCTACAACATTGGCCTTTCCGGGATGATATTGCAACTCAAAATCATAGTCCTTCAAGAATTCCATCCAGCGCCTTTGTCTCATGTTTAAATCTTTCTGATCAAATAAATGCTTCAGGCTTTTGTGATCACTTAACACAGTGAACTTTGATCCATAAAGATAATGCCTCCAAATCTTTAAGGCAAACACAATTGCCGCTAACTCTAGGTCGTGAGTTGGGTAGTTCCTCTCATGCACCTTCAATTGTCTTGATGCATAAGCTATCACTTTCCTTTCTTGCATCAACACACACCCAAGACCTTGATATGACGCATCACAATACACATCAAAATTTCCTAATGGGTCTGGTAAGATGAGTATTGGTGATGAAGTCAATCTTTCCTTTAGCTTCTGAAAACTTTCTTCACACTCTTTAGTCCATTCAAAGTTTTTACCTTTCCTCGTTAACTGAGTCATGGGCAAAGCGATCTTTGAAAATCCTTCA